GCGACGGCAGCGGAGCGCACCGTCAGATCCCGGTGCCTTTTGGTCTGAGCAGGCTTTCTCAGCTGGGTGTTCTCACTGCGGGGAGAAACGACCGGCTAATTTGACGTATTCCTTTTCTTCCCCCCCGGTCTTTCAGCTTATGTCATAACCACGAGGCGGGCGAGCAGGGATGGAATCACTGAATACCGAGGTGAGGGCACGGAAGACTCTGGGAGCCGTTGAATACGTCGAGTCCTCGGGCTTCAGCCCGGGAGTGCTGCCGACCAAGAAGGATGTGGTTCAGAACATGCTGTATTTGTTGCAGCCCAAAAGAGCCGGCCAGGCCCAGCGCTCCAAGGAGGACGCGGCCCAGTTGCTCGCTGAGCACCTGCAGGAGCACTGGTTGGTTTGCAACCTGCACACCATCGCGACGCAAAATATAAAGAAACTTATCCTCAAAATGTACGAGGAGTTTACCAGGTTGTATCAGACCAGAAAGCAGAGACAGAACCAGGCTTTCAGTGAACGAGCAGACAGATTCAACGAGAGTTCGGAGAAGCTCTTTGACGTGTTTTGCACAGACGCGCAGATGAGAAATAAACTGGAGGAGTACAGCGGGGTGAAGATGACGAGCATCGAGTGGAAATTTCTTGAAGATCAAAGAAGCGAAAGGAAAATGTACTACGAAGATTTCACAGATAAACAAGAACTGAAGACGATGGAGAGAAGACGAAAGATCCAGTGCCTGGAGCACTTCAGAAAACTCGCCAGGGAGGAGAAGGAAGGAAGCAAAGCAAAGGAAGCGAAATACAAAAGCGATGAGCAATCGGATGAAGGCACGAGCGTGGACGAGTCCTACCCCGCAGAGGAGGAGAAAGGCGGCCCTCCAGCCTTCTCGCTGCGGGGCAGGAGGAAGCGCCGGTGCACCGCGACCCCGGCCAACGCCGCCATGCCCCTCGAGTGCCAGCATATACGGATGAGCATCAGGAGAGTTAGGCCTGGGTTCTACGAGACTGTGGAGAAGGTGAAAAACTGCTAGCGCGTGCCGCGGTCGGCAGGCAGAGCTGCTGGAGCACGAGGTGGCAATGCACACGTTAGGCAAGTTTGAAATCCCACCGTCAATTGGAAAGCGATTGTTGTAGCTCCCCCAGCCAGAGCTCGGGAAGATCCTGCCTCCGGGGAAGAGCACTGGGACGACGACAGCAGCGGCAAGGACTAAAACACGCGAATTTGGAAGGATAAGTAGCTGGCGGCTAACGATGCGGAGGCTCAGGCGTAGCGGACGATTGACGGTTACGTAGCGTGTAAGCCTCTTTGCCCAAGGTCCCATCTGCATCAGGGGGTTTTGGGAAGTCTCTCACCATCTCGGA